TCTCATCCAAATCTTAATAGTAACATAAACAACACGATTTTTCTAGGCCAAGGACGAGATCAAACAATCTAATCTTTAGGTAAGTGCGTTTGTTGCCTAATTCGCATCGTATATCCGTTTTCTTGATTTCTTTCTCCTAATTTGTGATCCTTCGACCCTATCACTTCCTAGGGACGTGTGAGTGACCTCTTAAGCAAGGTTGGACGTTTAGGAGTCGTTGCTAGCCTCGAGGTAAGGACTATTGCAACCAAAAATTATATTTTGCCCCGTATTATGTATTACTTAGGGTTTGTGCTGCGAGTTAAGTTTCTTTCTGAAATTTTATGAATATTTCGGCTATTATAGTATGAATATGATGATGTATGATTTTCTGGGAATTTTTGGGAAATAGTTATTTTTACTTGGAAATTGTAGAGATTAGTTTGATACAAATTATATATTCTTAAATGTATAATTTGATGTGATTATTTACATATATATTCTGGGATTAGAACTATCCTTATTGGATTATTTTGAACATGAGATCAAATACTATTTTGGAACTAGTTTTGGATAAACCCTAATTTGTGAACTTTAACTTTGAATTGGAGATGTTTCGCATATGATAAGTGATATTTTGGGAAAGTATTTTGAAGTTAAGTGATATGTGAGTAACCCATGAACTATATGTTCATAATGATAAGTGGAGTAATCTATGAACTATATGTTCATAATGACAAGTAGAGTAATCTATGAACCATTTGTTCATAATGATAATTGGAGTAATCTATGAATAATGTGTTCATAATGATAGGTGGAGTAATCTATGAATCATATGTTCATAGTGATAAGTGAGTAATCTATGAACTACATGTTCATAATGACCTTTGGAGTGAAGTAATCTATGAACAACATGTTCATAATGATAGGACCGGCAGACAACCCGGGTGTTCATGTAATTTGGATAATATTTTTGAATTGAAGAGTAACTGGTTTTGGAGAATTAATTGTGGATAAGTATTTGTTGGAATATGAAATCATTATGGATAAGTATTTATAAGTTATTTTGAGAAAGTTGAAAGTTAAAGTGTGTTGAGTGGATAAAGTTTATAGTTTTTAATGTTGAACCACAAAGGTTGTTTTGAATGATGAATGTGATTTTAAACTTGAAAATTGTATTTTGAGAACAAACTGAACTTTTGAATCTATACGCTAAGTATCAAAATTATTTTGGCAAATTATATTATTTTACGAGGTTGGGTATGTCTTACTTAGCCAAAAAAGTTTTTTTTTGTTTCCTTTTTTGTTTTGTTTTGTTTTGTTTTCTTCACTATATTTGGTGCATGTGATGAAGATTATGTTTGATGAAGAGATCCTCGTTAGATCACCTAGACTAGTTACTAGTTACATTATTAAATTCAGATTTCAGAACTTGTTATTGTTTTATTTACCTTCAGTTTTGAGCTTAGCACTCATGATTATTTTTGGATGGTGCTTTAGTCTGTGCATTTGGGTGTGTGAGAACCGAATGTGCGGTAACACCCATTGAATGTTATGCTTCCGCTGCAATTTAAACCGTTTTGAATTTAAATGTTTTTGGGAAATTCTTGCTATACTTGCTATAATTAGCATCTATTTTGGGTATGAATTTGGGAGTGTTACACCGACCCTACCCATTTACCCCCTACATGCCCTACCTCGGCCCCACCCCGACCCCATCCTACGCCATCCTACCCCTATCCTACCCCTTACCACCCTACCCCACCCCCACCCGTAAACCCTTACCCTACCACGGCCCTACCCCTTTACCCCTACTGCATGCCCCCTGACCTCGCCCTATGCCATCCTACCACATCCCCTAGCCCTTACCACCCCTACCCCCGACCATTCCCCTTACCCTGTAACCCCTTCCCTACCCTGACCCCTACCCTTTACCCCTACCACCTTCCCCTAACTCGACCCCACCCCATACCCCATCCCACCCCTACCCCGCCCCCCGCCCGACCTTACCCTACCCCATTACACCATGCCACCTGCCCTTATCTCGACCCCACCCTGACCCCGATCCCACCCAGTAAGGTAGGTGTTAGGGGTATGAAGGGTTGTAGGGGAGCAGGGGTAGAGGGTGAGGTCGTGGTAAGGGTATGGGTAGGGGCCAAGGGTGTGGAATAGAGTCAACTCTTGTTTGATAGAGTCAACTCTTTTCTCAGAATTTGCTTCAAGGTCTTGAATTTGTGTGTGTACATATATACCGTAATACGCTCAAATAGTGAACCCGTCAAAGCTTTGTCTAATGAAGGAGGTTGTGTTGGTGGAGGAATATCAATGGTGGAGTGAATTGGAGCAAGTGGACGGACAATCATTTCTTCTGTATGCTTCATCTTTATTATCACTTTGTGATAAATTCACTTTTCCTTTTTTTGATGAAACATATATTTTCTTTGACTTCTCTTTTCTTTTTCTTGAGACAGGAATATGAAGCAATTAGTTCTTCTTTACCCAAAGAACATAAGCATCAATCTCAGTGATATGGTAGTTTTCCTCTATTGGCTTTAATGACACGATCCTTTTCAGTTTGAGCCTCCAAAGAATCAGGAAGAATACTCTGCATACTCTATAGTTAAAAAATTATGTAAATTAGAATATGTTTTACTACAACAAGATTTGATTATCGTCGGCCAAGCTGGGCCACAGTTGATCAATCCACAATGATCACTCCATTTGGCAATACATATATACGTTGCGAAATTGTCTGAAATGGAGAAAGAATGAAATTTGTTATATGAGTTACTTTTACACCTTGTACAATCTCCTGGACTTCCTGATTATTTAATTTTTTTTGTTATCTCTTTCCACTTCCAAAGACAAATGCAGGGAGGGACATTAGTAGTTTGCTTTTGTTTGAAAGCAAATTTTTAAGCAAAAGTCCGGCACACACTCCAACAACAAGATCTAAAAAGATATGTTCAAATAATCATTAATTCAACAAATACTAAAAATTAAATTTTAATTTAATAGTCATAAATAAAAGTATCTCACCGATATCAGAGATAAAAAACCGTATAACATAATGTTTGAGTCACCTTTTGATGAATAATCTCATCTGTCTTCTTTTTAAAATTCTTTTTTCAATGACTTAATAGACTACATAAATGCCTATGTATATCATGGGAAGTCTAAACAGTAGCCACTGATTTGCGCGGTGATCCAATCAGGAATGGAATTGTCTCTCTTGGCAGGGTCTAAAAGAACCATCATTATAAATATAAGTGATGCCGTTCTTATAACTTCATATCGTGCTTCATCTTTCTTAGCTCTATCATGATGGTTTATGATTATAAAGTTGGTGAAAACGATCTAAAAACCGTGTTGTAACTAACTTTATCATTATTTCCATCACAAAAAATAGAAGGCCGGTGAGTGTCAACAAATTTTGCTCGATCTTCCTCTTCATAATCCTCAAAATTATCTTTGTCCAGAGAAGTGTAGTTCAACCCACTAATTAAAGCAAACTACTTTAAAGAGTAACGAACTGTAACTTCCTTCATCACAAACCACAATCAAGAAGTTCTCTCAATATCCGCTATTCTACCAAGCAAAGGCCGGATTGGTGCAAGGACATATTGTATGTCTATGTACTTGCCAAATACAGTGGACCTAGACGGATTCAATAGGTCGGGATGGTCACCTAACCAACACTTCATTTCTGCTTGAAACTTCCCCAATGAACTTTTTATTGTAATTTTCATGTTAGGGAAGAGTGTAGTGTCAACCATAGGAGATAAGGATGAAACCTGGATAAAATAAATTATGAATAAGCGTTCTAATTAATAATAGTCAAACATGGTCGAACACAGTCACACACGGTAGAATGAGGTCAAACTGGTTCAAACTCAACATAGTAGAATAAAATAAATTAAAGTTGTAACACAGCCAAACATTATAGAACACGGTAGAACACAATAAAAAATACGGTATAACAAAGTAAAACATATTCAAATTCACATTAGAATATAATAAAAAACACAACCAAACTCTTTGTTTGGAGCAAGATGATTCAACTCCTGAGGATCTTTTACATGTTTATCTGGTTGAATTTCTTTACTTTTCTTTGATTCCGACTTCTTCAGAAGTTTTTCAGCAAGGCTAATTTCTCCTAAATTTACCAACCTACGCTTAAGTTTAGGCTTATCTTCTCCATCCATGAGAATGGTAGGGTTCTTAACCTTCATGATGTTTGAAGTGGCGCCAAGGTTTCGGTGAAGGTTGAAGGAGTGTCGTTCGAATCACTGCAACAAAATTGGCTTTTTGTAACATTTGCTTTGCAACACTTTTATTTTTGTTACATATATCATCAAAAGTTAACCACTTTCTCCATTAATGGAAAAAGTGGTTAAGGAGGAGTGCCGTTGAAGGATGAGTGCCGTTCGAAGGAGGAGTGTCGTGCGAGAAAGAGTGCAGTTCAAATGAAGAGTGCCGTAAGAGGAATTGAAAGTAGGATTCAAACTCTATCTTGTAACTCAAACGACCTCATTTTAGTATAGGTTATTATGTAATTTTGATACTACGAGTTTGAAAAGAGGGATTTTTTTTATACCGTAGTACTACGTATTATTTAAAAATTCCCTTTTTTGTTGCTGAACCCCTCATTTATTTATGGGCTGTGCTACGTGTGCATATAAATCGTACACATTTTGTGTAAACTCTTAATTGCCTATGTAGACATGTAGTTTCTGAAAGAGCTGCCTATGTATACTAGCAACTATGGGTTTGCACAAAATAAATGTGTACTTGTACTAACATTTTTTCCCTTTACACTCCCTTTTCGCATAAAACTTGGCCAAATTTCCTTTTTTTGCCGTCCCAACAAAATTACTTTTCTATCTGCACAAATTTTAAGCATACAATTTTTATTTTATTAATCTAGGTCCAAGTCAATTTTGGCCAAATTTTGCCTTAATTTTGTCTTATGGAGAAAGTATTAGATTAGAATTAGAGTAGATGAGAAAACCAACTAATTGAAATTGTCTTTCCTATTCTCCAAGCTTCCGAGTGATTCCTTTTCTCATTTCAAATCGAATGCTTGTGGAACATATATCCTCTCAGAGCCAACCCAAGTCTTCATGCGCGCGCGTGTGTATTATATCGAGCGTGTGTTTATGTATTCGTGCACATATCTACACGGTTACTGAACGAAAGAGAAAGGAGAGTGATCAATAGGAGCTTGCGGAGATGCTGGAAGATCAAGTGGCGTATTTGTTGCAGAGGTACTTGGGGAATTATGTCTTAGGACTCAACAAAGAAGCTCTTAAGATCAGCGTCTGGCAAGGTACCGTGCCCTTCCCCTTTCTGGTTGATATCGATCGGCTTAGTTGTAAGTTGTAACGAATGGTGATGCTAACTGATTTATTGGCTGTAGACTTCGTTTTACCATAAATAGTGTAGTCATTGTAAATTGAGTTTCGTATTGCCGTCCAACGCTATATATCTGTGTTTTTTCAAACAGTTCAATGCACTATGAGTTCAGTTTAACTCATTTCCTGATTCAAATTCACCCCTGGGCTAGGTAGTTAACTCGCTACTCGGTAGCAACTCGGTCAAGGACCGGGTAGCGAGTAGGATCGATTACTCGGGATTACTAGGCGATTACTTGGCCCTATATTAATTAAATTTAATAATATATGTGCTTGAGATTATAGAAATACAATAATCTTAAAATTGTCTTAAAATACATAGAAATGAATAAAATGATAAAAATCCTAAAGATGAAGTAACAAAGTTGAGAACTTCACCGAGTTGAGAAACTCGCCGAGTAACTCGGAAATAATATATGGACCGAGTCAAGTAGCTAATCGGCAAGGTCACCACCCGAGTTGCGAGTACTCGCCGAGTAGATAACCCAGCTCCTGGGTCTAGAACTTGTGCCTCATTTTATATCAAAGAGCAGGCTGGACTGCTGGAGTGCTAAAAGAAGATGTTTTCAAGACATTGAAACCCCACATGATAAAATTCTTTAAACCAGTAAATGAAGTTTGGATTTTCTATTCATGTAAAACCAATCAAATAATTAGAATATTAGCTGTTCTTGACACTATTGTGGTTTGTAAAAGTTGGAGTTCTCCAATTAGTTGATCTTTGTAGTGATGGATTGGATGATTCAAGTTCATGTTAAAAAATAAAAATTTGTAAGAAGATAGTAAACCTTGTGCTCAGGGGCATATCTCGAGTGGGGGCAGCTTCCCCCACTAACGCCAACCCAACCCTTATACATACATAACCTAAAATTTTATAAGAAATTTCTCAAAATAGGAATAAAACATAGTAAAAATCCTCAAATAGGACTAAGAGTGTTTTCTTCCCCAACTATAAGATTTATGTTATCACATCAAAGAACAATAACAACAACAATAAGCATGCCTTATTCCCAAAAGATTTTGGAGTTAACTAACATGAATCAACCCATGATATCGAAGCCAAAAAGAAAAGAAAAAAAGAAAAGAAAAGATAAGGTAAAATAAAAAGGATAAAATAAAGATAAATATAAGATAAAAGAACATAAGAAAGATAAAAGATAAAAATAACATACGAATTATAAGAAAGATAAAGAAGATAAAAAAGATAAAAGAAAGAGAGAGAGAAAAGAGATCAATCCAAGAAGAAGCATATAAGTTCTGATTCTTTTAATCCACGTTTGTTTAGCTCTTCCTCTCCCTCTCCTCCCCACCTTTCAACTCGTCTAATATGTGCATCACTCGGTCTTCTTCTCACATGACCAATCCACCACAATCGAGACTCCTGCATGTTATCTTCTATAGGTGCTACTCCCACCTTTTGTCTAATTATCTCATTCCTCAAGCAATCTGGTATGTCCACACATCCGACGCAACAAACATCTCTGCCACACTCATCTTTTAAATGTGACATTGTTTCAGCGCCCACCACTCTACGTCATACATTAATGCATGCTAATTGATGTCAGATAAAATTTACCCTTCAATTCTAGCGGGCATACCTCAATCACATAGAAATTCTAATGCACTCTTCCATTTCATCCACCCTGCTCTAATTCTTCACATCCTCCTCCTCCTCTTTTGTATTGGCTTGGGATATGTATGATAACAAAAATGATCTAATGGTGGAGTTAATCCTATTAAAGAAGAAAAGGATAAATAACAGCGCATGAGTCATATTTTGGGAAGAAACAATGATACTCCTATTTGAGAAAATTGTTATGTTTAACTTCTATTCAGGGAATTTTCTCAAATTTTATATACAATTGCATCTGTGCACAAAAGGAATATAAAGCGATCTTCTTTTTATAGATACTTGTACATTTATAACTTAAACCAAGTCTAACTAAATAATATTAATAACGTGATCTGCTATTTGTGAAATGTGTGACTATATTGTAGCTTAAGTTTACCCCACTCAAAAAAACTTTCGGATACACCATTGCTTGTGCTTGTGCATGGACTCAACATCCCAAAGTTATTGCATTGATTTTCTTTCATATCTAATACTGAACAACTATCCTCTTTGTCACTTACGTAATTTAATAGTTATTTGTATGAATTGAAGTCATATTTGACAGCTTGTTATAAACCATATTTGCATATCACATCTCCGGTTGAACGATATTTACTTCACGGATTACAGTAGTAATGATTCCGCTTGCATATCCTTTCAGTTGATCTTTGCTCTTAATGATGTGAAACTAGGCAGCAAACCAGTAATACAGTTCTTTCATGTGATCATAGAACGCCAATGCCACCGTAAAAGAAGGAAATTAAAAAAATCAGTACACTACTCATACAAATCTCACAAATTTGGAAGACAAATGAATCAGGCAAATCTGTTTGAGAAATAAACCAGAGATTGGAGAATCTCTTGAGATACTAGATATTATTTTCTAGACAAGTTACCATCAGTGATTTGAGAATCCTTTGAGATCTTCGATACTAATTTCTGTTTGCAATCTTTAGTTGCTTTCTTTATTTTCATTTTTTGTAACTCTTTAAAGCCTATATAAGGGCCATTGAATAGAGGGAAAAGTATGCAAGTTTTCAGCAAGAAAAGTCTCAAGAGTTTGTGGAATTCTCAATAAAAAATTCCAACTTATTGCGTTAAAAGCTTGCATAATTATATTCTTCCTAGTTTTTTCCCCAAACAATAAACATAGCCAACCCTTCTAAAGCTGCTCAATCTACTCTCCCACTCGCCCGAAGGCCCATGACGAGATCTTGCACACAAGCTGCCTGGAACATTTTTTTTTTCTGTTTGTATAAGGGAATTTGCCCTAAATAGGAATAAAAACGTTTGTGTATTCCAAAATAGGGCTGTCATGCTTTTATTCCTTAAATAGGAGTAATTACTGCCGTGTTTTGGCAGTACCGGACATTAAACATGACAGTATTTTCCAAACTTGATAGTAAATACTCCTATTTAGGGAATAAAAACGAGTCCTATTTTGGAATTATCAAATGTTTTTACTCTTATTTCGGGAATTAATACTGTAGTGTTAGGATAAACAATTTTTCCCAATATTGATGCTCGTATTTTATGGAGTTAATGGATGCATTGTTCCTAAAACTTAACAGGTGATGTAGAACTTACCAATATGCAATTGAAGCCTGAGGCACTCAATGCATTGAAGTTGCCTGTGAAAGTTAAGGCTGGATTCCTTGGATCAGTTAAACTTAAGGTTTGTAAACTAAGAAATAATATATGATTAATTCGACTCATGAGTCTTGATAATGAAAAAGTATGCTCTTTAGTGCCGATTGTTATGTCTACACGAAAGCATCATTTCTATAGCATTTTTTTCATGTGCAAATTTGTTGTGGGGTGAAAACTTAGTCTTTTATAGTTTTTGGTGACACCAGTTTAATGAGTGAAGCATGCAGAAATTATATTGCCAGGTGTCATAGTATTTTTGTAGTATTTATCTGAAGTTCATTTTTTTCTATATAAATAAGGGTTTAATAACTTCAATATAGCGGAGGAGACCTATTTGATTTTGAGATGATTAAGGGACACATTGATACTTATAAACATGTTCCTAATGTGTCTTTGACTCTATGGTAAGTGTGGTTTGATGTCCTTACTCCTCACAATATATTTGCATTTTCTTTTGTTCTCTTTGCATATTGTTACTTCCTGAATTATAGGTACCGTGGAGCAGGCTTGGCCAAGATCCTGTTGTAGTTCACCTTGATCGTATTTTTTTATTGGCTGAGCCTGCAACCCAGGTTGAAGGATCTAGTGAGGATGCTGTCCAAGATGTTAAGAAGAACCGGATACGAGTGAGACATTGTCCTTTGGGTTTATGTTTTGTGGATTTTGTTAGATTATTCATCAAGTTTGCATTTTTATTGAACCAGGAAATGGAAACAAGGCTGGTTGAGAGTAGACTAATGCTGAACACAGAAATGGTGCGCTCCTGTGACTTTGTTCATTACTTTAATACTTCAATAAATGCAGATCTGTGACTGTATTGTAAATGGGTAATAGATTTTTTCCAAAAAGAGCTTTTAATAGATCCTTAAATCAGTAACTTATTATTTAAGAACATTGAGAATCTTGATTTTGTATTCAATCATAAGATTTGTTAATTGTACACTGACAATATTTTGTAAATCCAATATATGGTTTCTTGGAAATAGACTTCTTCCCATGCATCTGGGAAATAGTGCAGTGTGTTATCTTTATTTACTGCCTTATTAATAAAAACAAATGTGGATTATTCTCGCAAATGCTTGCCTAAAATTAAAATGTGTCTGTGTGAAGCTTTTTTTATTCCTTTAACAACCTTCCTCTCCCAGTTGCTAAAAATCATTTTCATGTTCATCATATGGATAGTCAACATGGTAAAAGTCTCATGACCACGTATAATAATATTGGGCTGGTTTGTCCAGAGTGCCAAAGCACAATGTATAAGTGCTTGGCATATTGGGTGTATCCATGTATGTGATTTGGTCTAATTTTTTTATAGAACTCCTCTTGGCTGCAATCGCTGATCAGCACAATAATTGGAAATTTGAAGCTTACCATCTCAAACATACATATCAGATATGAGGATGTTGAGAGGTAAGGAGGACCATGCACTATTACATTTTTATCTCAATTGCTAGTTTAGCTGCTTATAATATATGCTTTGCAGCAATCCTGGCCATCCATTTGCAGCGGGTATAATGTTAGAGAAGCTCTCAGCAATGACAATTGATGACACTGGGAAGGAGACTTTTATCACTGGAGGTGCATTAGAGAGGATGCAGAAGGTATGAATGGATTGAAACATTGTTTTTGGCTTTCGCCTTACTTTCGACAGGTCGTGTTCAATAAATATGTAGTGTCTTGTTCTCCTTCATGTCGTTCTCGTTCGGTCTCTTGTACACAGCTATTTCATCCAAGCCTATTCAATTTGATAAGTACTGTTGTCAATGCCAGAAAACATACATATCTGTTTGATGTTTGGAACATTTGTTCCGTCTCTGTCAGAGTGTCAACTTTGACCCATGTTTTCCAAAATTCTAGCCACCAAATTAATCTATCTCAGTATCTCCCCAGTTCCCTCTTGTGCCATAGATATACACGCAAATATTGTAGTGAAATATTAAAATTATGATGTAGTACTCTCAGTAAGTTATCGTGTAACCATATGCTGAAGTGGAACATAAATGTCATTCGGTCATTCCTTATGTGAAGAGTGGAGGTTTTTTAAATGGAGTAGATTTTTCCTTAAATTGTCAATCATTTCTTAATTATGTTGGATGTTATTATCCAAATTATTTTATCGTTGGGAGGAACTTTCATAACCTGTTGCACAATAAAGCTACGCCTTCCAGGCTAAAAAATTTGTACTGTTTTGACTTTCTGTGACTAACTGTCACCCTTTGTTGTAATCTTTGAAGTGTGTTATCAATATAAGACTAAATGTGTAAGAAGTTTTCTTTCTTTTTAATATCTTAATACATAATGTACATGGTTAAATTTTCCTGTTGGTTGCTTGCTCAATACATTTTTTTGGCCTTGCAAGTCTCTTGAGCTTGAGAAGCTAGCCGCTTATTTCAATTCTGACATTGTGCCATGGTATATTGATAAACCGTGGGAGGATTTACTACCAGTGGAGTGGGTGAAGGTATCCTCTTGTACTTTTCTGTGCATCTGTTCTTTATGATCCGGGATGTTACTGACCATATCCAATCTAGGTTTTCAAACACGGGACCCAAGATGGTAAACCAGCTGACAATATTGTAAAGGAGCATACATATATTTTACAACCTGTGACAGGAAATGCAAAATTCTCTAAACAGCGGCCTAATGTATCACTTCATAGTGGTGAGCCGCTGCAGAGAGCAGCTGTAACTCTGGATGATGTGACTCTCTGTTTATCTAAGGCTAGTCTTACAGCCTTTATATTTTATTTCTTTATGCAGATCTACTTCAGTTGGTGCTGGCTATCTGACTCAACTTTTGTTTCCATACGTAAAATACCTGTTTACAGAATGGCTATAGAGATATACTAAAATTGGCTGAGAACTTTTCGGGATTCAACCAACGACTGCGGTATGCTCATTTTCGCCCACAGTTTGATGTAAAATCTGACCCAAGATCTTGGTGGCAGTATGCCTACAAAGCTGTATCTGATCAGACAAAGAAGGCCAGGTATCTTAATAGTCGAACTGTTGAAGTGGTGGAAGAAGTATTCTTTACTTGCTCTTTCTCTTTTGTGTGAATTTATACCTTAGCGCATTCTACCATATCTTTTGTCTGATTGTTCCTCTAATAGATGCAAAAAACTCTAACTATTGAATTGGAATGGTATTGGGTGCACAAAATAACCAAAAGCCTTAGGGCTTGTTTACTAACAGTGATATTTTTCAGTTTTCTATTTATGTTTTCCGTTCTCCAATTTTCTGTTTTCATTTTCCAGTTTTTCTATCTCCAATCTTCTGTTTTCATTTTTTAGTTTTCCAATTTCAAACTGAAATTGAAAACATGTTCATCAAATTTTTTCACGTGATTCTGTGATCGACCAAAAATCCGAGAGTACGGTTCCAATTTGGAACTTAACCTAGTACAACCCAAGTAGGGTACCAAGTCCCATGTATAGGAAAGTCGGGACCGAAATCGGCCGGTCCCGGTCGATCTCAACGGTTAGTTTGACGAATTCTTTTCCTATTTCCCTATTGGTTGACAACTCAACGACTCTTTTAAAACTATTCACTTTAAAAAACTATTTCAAAAAATCGAGACTGAACTATCGGGTCATTGACCGGCCCGGATAGGGACCACTAGGTCATTAACGGGACTGACCTGGGACAACCTGATTGTCGATCAGACTGAACACAGACTGTCGGGTCATTGGTTAGACAGGATAGGGACCGCCGGGTCGTTGATCGGAAAGAACGGGGATCACCGGATGATTGATTAGACAGGACGGGGACCCCGGGGTCATTGATCGGACCGGATGGGGATTACACAACCATCGACCGAACCGAACAAGTACCGCTTGGTCGTGGACCAGACAGGGGATTGTCGGGTCGTTGGCCGAACCAGATCGGGATCGTCGGTTCATCGACCAGACCAAACCAGGATTGCTCGGCCATTGACTGGACCGGACAGGGACCGCCGGGTCAATGACTGGACCGGACCACCGGATCATTGACCGGACCCGATAGGGACTATCGGGTCATTGACCGGACCGGATTGGAACTGACACCCGAGCGGGACCGGATCCACCACTAGGCATCCGGTGTTGACAAATTTGACATCCGTAAGTATGCAAATTCATTGCAGCGGCACTGCAGCATCCGCGTTTTCCAAATTTGGAAAACTAGTAAAAGTCACTTATCCAATTCATTAAGGAAAACAGAGACATATCTCATTTTTTTTGGTTTTGGAAAATTATTTGGTAAACGCACTTTTGTGTTTTCCTTTCTCCAGTTTTCCAGGATTTTTTTTGGTAAACACGTTTTTTGTTTTCCCTTTTCGAGTTTTCCAGTTTTCTGAAAAACTGGAAAATATCTCTGCTAGTAAACAAGCCCTTAGTATTTGTCTTTTTTGGTGGGAGTTGTGAATTTATTATCCGTGTTGGTAGTTCTTTCTGTGGTTACTTGGGGCAAAAAACCATTTTGTATATTCTAGTGAGCTTGAACCTTCCAAATTCTTGAATGGGTGAATTGAATATTTTGCTTATTTAAAGTCTCACACTTGAGCAAAAAATGAAACTTTTACATAGTTCAAACATGCCCATGTATGAAAGATGTATGTCACCTCATTTCCTGTCTTAAAAAAATTGATCAAATTTACCAACCTCAAAGTTTATGCTTTCTAGATAACTGGGCACCTTATGGCTGAATTCTTCATTCGACAGCCATTCACTTCAACTAGATGCTTATACTTTGTCATCATCATCATTACCCCAGTGCCGCAAAGGCTCCCACCTACGGTGGGGTAAGAGGGGTCGGATGTACGCAGTCTTACCCCTGTACTAAAGCACAGAGAGACTGTTTCCGAATGACCCATAGTGAAAATCGTGTCGAAAATTGCATAAACAGACCGTTACTTCGTAACAAAGAAGCGCAGACAGTTTGGTGAGCCATTTTGCTTTATTCCATCATATTCCCAAGCCAAAAAATAGTGAGTCTTTGGCTCCATTGAAAATGATGGAAAAATTTCTTCACCAAGCCTTCAATTATGCTAATTACTTTTCTATGTTTGCATGCCGAATGTGTATCTATGAGGATATTTATGAATCAAGTTCAGTCAGTGGCCACTTTAATTTTGTTGCTAATATTTACCTGTTAGTGTATTTAATTGAACTGCTTTCATTACCGGCAGTGGGAAACTATCATGGAAGCAGGTCTTGCGATATACACGCTTACGCAAGCAATACATTTCCTTATATGCTTCACTATTGAAGTCTGATCCTGACCGGGTTGTTATTGATGATAACATGGATGTTGACGCACTGGACCGTGAACTAGATATTGAAATTATACTTCAGTGGAGGTACACCATCTTTGTGTTTGTAATTTTTTTTCTTTTTAATGATGGATTTCAGTCCTGATATATCATACTCTGGGGAATGGTTTAGGGTACTCAGAAAAGTTTTTGTTAAATTTGGCAATACACTGGCCTCCCTTGAAGAACCTTAAGTGATAGTCCGAGTTGAGGCACCTAGATTCCTTATCCAATCCTGTCCCCCACTATTTTTATTCATCCAAACACTAGCTTTTCTCACCAAAAGTTGGAGTTTACCTCATCCTGGTTATTCTCGTTTTGAGTGTAAATGTGGGGTTCACGGGCAAAACCATTGGTGATTCTTTTTTATACGACACAGGCAGTGTAATGATTGTATACTGGACCTAGTGCCTAGTATGAGTTAGGACTTATTGCACACATGTTTTTGGTGGGGGGCTAAAGGTGTATTTTATCTCTGCAGGATGCTTGCCCACAAGTTTGTGAAGAATTCGGTGGAGTCAGATCTACTCGTAAGAAAAAAACAAACAAACAAATCATGGTGGCAATTTGGATGGTTAGCTTGCTGCCACTAGTACTGGAGTAGTTTACAAATTGGGTCTTTTGTTTTTATGTTTTGGTTTAATGCATTTGATCAGGTCTAGCCAATCTGTTGAAGATGAAAGTGCTCCAGGGATATTCAGCGAGGAAGATTGGGAAAGATTAAATAATATGATTGGGTACAAGGAAGGCGGCGAAGAACCACTATTTGCGACACATGACAGGAGGGATATACCTCATACTACCTTGGAGATTCACATGAAGCATAATGCTTCTAAGCTTAGTGATGGCCAGGAATGCCTTGCTGATTTGTCCTGTGATAATCTCGATTGTTATGTTCAGCTTTACTCAGAGATGAAAGTTTTTGACATAAAGTTGGGTTCATATCAATTGTTGTCTCCAAATGGTCTTATTGCTGAGGTGTGTTTCTTTTCCAGCTTTTCCTCTTGTTTATGTTTTCCCCTCCTTTTCCTGCATTTAGGTCTATTTTTGCATATCATATCATATAGTGTGCCCATGTTTCAAGAGGATCTTTCAATCAATATTTCTACAAAAAAAAAATACCAAGTGCCAAAAACTTTTTTAAATAGAAAAGCTTAATGTATCTCATCTTTCACAGAAATTTCAGTAATTCATTATATATACTACTCCCTGTTTCTAAGAGTTGACAGGGGTGCAGGGGTGAGGTAAAAGTAAAATGAAATTACTTGAGATTCCCCCATAACTCCTACCCACTTAAACACTAACTCCTTCTTTATGTGTCCATATATTTCTGCTCAGCCTAGCATGTCTACGCATGATGTTTGGTCATCTAAGTTTTCATTGTGCATTGTTTATGCAGAGTGCAACTGCCAAAGATTCATTGGTTGGTATTTTTTGTTTAAAGCCCTTGGATGCTAATTTGGACTGGAGTTTGACAGCTAAAGCTTCTCCCTGTTATATAACTGTATGTGATCACGCCATTAACTATAGTTTATCCTCATCATTGATTTGAGCTGCTTCGCTAATGACCTAATTTTGCCCAGTATCTGAAGGACTCAATTGATCAAATCATCAACTTCTTTGAAACCAATGTCGCTGTAAGTCAAACCATAGCTCTGGAGACTGCCGCTGCTGTGCAGGTATGTGTGCGGGATTTGTCTTCTTTAGCTGGTGTACAATTTGTAAGAAACTGATGAAGATGAAGTTACTGTTGCCAGTCAAAGCAACTTATGGGTGCAAAAGAAAAAAGAAAAAAAATGTGCATACGGGATCTAGACTATCACTTTGTAGTGGTAGAAGTAAAATAGATTACAATAATGAGCTGGAAACTTGGAATCCCATTCCTTTGTGAACTATTGAAGTTGTAACCATGGAAATTATAAAGAAAACAAGATGACATAGAGGGATATAATCCTCACGAGAATTTTGTATTATTTTCTCTATAAAATGCACAAGATTGTTGTTCTATATAAAAACTAAGGGCCTGTTTACTAACAGAGATATTTTCCAGTTTTCCAGAAAACTGGAAAACTGGAAAACAGAAAACAGGAAACGTGTTTACCAAAGAAATTCCTGGAAAACTGGAGAAAGGAAAAAAGAAAAACGCGTTTACCAAATCGTTTTCCAAAACGGAAAAAATGAGACATGTTTCTCTTTTCCTTAATGATTTGGAGAAGTGACTTTTACTAGTTTTCCAAATTTGGAAAACGCAAATGCTACAGTGCTGCTGCAATGAATTTGCATACTTACACCTAGTGGTGGGTCCGGTCCCGCTTCGATGTCGATTCCATTCTGGTACCTACATCCTCGTACCTTACCCCTTACCCCTACCCTACCCTACCTACCCAACCCCACCCCGCATACCCATTTTTCCCTATAATGACCCTACCCCACCCCCTACCACATGCCCCTACCTCGGCCCCACCCCGATCCACCCTACCCTACTGCCACCCCCCTACCACCTCGACCCCACCCCGACCCACCCTACCCTTCCCCCACCCGTATATTACCCCTTACCACATGCCCCTACCTCGGCCCCACCCCACCGCCATCCTACCCCCACCCTCGTACTGCCATCCTACTCCCACCCTCGTACCACCATCTTACCCCCACCCTTCCGCCATCCTTCCCCCCACCCTACCCTTCCCCTATCTCGGGCCCACCCTACTGTCATCCTATCCCACTACCCCTACCTTACCCCAACCCCAACCCTATCCCACTACCCCCACCCTTACCGCCATCCTACCCCCCACCCCTACCCCTTCCCTACCTCGACCCCACCCTGATCTCGGCCCCACCCTACCGTCATCCTATCTCAACTCCATACCCTACCTCTACCTTACCCCAAACCCTACCCACTACCCCACCCTTACCCCTAACCACAACCCTAACCCACCCCTAACCCCACCCAACCCCCAACCCCTACACCTTACCACCCCACCCCGACCATACCCCTTACCCCACCCCCACCCATAACTTCCTTACCCCGACCCCTACGAGTAGGTATGAGTGGGTATGAAGTTAAGGGTTGTGGGGGAGTATGGGTAGAGTGTAAGATCGTGATAAGGGTAGGGGTCAAGGGTGTGGAATTGGTGAACTGGGTGAAAAAATTGATAAACATATTTTCAGATTTGAAAATGGAAAACTAAAAAATAGAAACAGAAAATTGGAGATAGAAAAACTGAAAAATAAAAACAGAAAATTGGAGAACGAAAAACAGAAGTAGAAAACAGGAAAATATCTCTGTTAGTAAACAGGCCCTAAGTATCTTGTTTATCATTCCCATTGTTCAGTCAGCATTATAACTACTTAAGTTTTTTAAGTTGGAATTATTTTCCACATCAGTGATAGCTTGGCACTTGGTCACGAAGTAGATGATTTTCCTTCTCTCTTTACTCATTAAGAGTAATGTGTTACGGGCAGCTTGTGTGCAAGATTTGGTAACAGCTCGGGTGAGTGGGAGGGTAGACTGAGCTTTGGAAGGGTTGCTATGTTTACTGTTTGGCAGAAAACTAGGAAGAATATAATTATGCAAACTTTTATCACAAGTTGATTTTTTTATTGAGAATTCCACAAACTCCCTTAGACTTTTCTCGCTAAAAACTTGCATGACTTTTTCCTGCATTCAACTGGCCCTTTAATAGGCTTTAAAGAGTGGGAAATAAAATAAAGAAAACAACTAAAAAGTAACAATAATTCAAAGAATGCAATCAGAAAATAATATCTCAGATCTCTAAAGATCTCAAATCTGCTCCCAGATTTGTTTGATTTATTTGTCTTCCAAACCAGTCAGATTTTTCTGTGTGATTTGCTGATTTTTATCTTTCTTTCTTTTATGGTGATACTGACGCCCTATGAATGTATCATTACTACCTTCGTTTAGACCGAGCTTGTCCTTAAGCTTGAAGTTAGGGAAGTGAAGACTGAACTCATAAACATTCTCCCAAGTAGCCTCATCGGGATGCATGCCAGACCACACCACTAAAATCTCTTTTCTGCCCCTGTTAAGACGGTCCCGCAAGACCTCTTTTGGCTATGGCAGGAGCTTCCCGTTGTGAAGACTAGGTAATGTGGGAGATTGTGCTGGTGGCGTTCCCTTAAATTCCTTAAGTAATGACATGTGGAAAATGTCATGGACTTTACTACCCTCCGGAAGGGAAAACTTGTATGCCACTTAGTCAACTTTCTTGATGACCTGGATTGTCCCAAAATACCATGGAGATAATTTCGCTGATGCCCGTTTGGTTATGCCGAATTGACGATATGGGTGCAGGCGAAGCCAAACCCACTGTCCCTTGTTGAGCACAACATTTTAGTGGTTATTGTCATATGCATGATGCATTCTTTCTTGAGCACGTATGAGGTGATTTCGAGCAGCATTCAAGATTGAATCTCTGTCCTTCATAGCAGCGTCTACTGTTTCTATTTTGGATGATCCTGGTTCATAGGATATAAGCCTCGGCGGTTCGTGCCCATAGATGACCTTGAAGGGCAAAGTACCCAAAGCCAAATGAAGAGAGGTGTTGTAGCAAAACTCAGCCCATGGCGGCCAGTCTACCCACTTGCGTGGATGATCTCCTATCATACATCTGAGATACATTTCGAGTGTGCAAATAACAACTTTTGTTTCCTCGTCCGTTTGTGGGTGATAAGATAGAAGAAAATGCCAAGGGTGTGCCACATAATTTAAAGAGTTCCGTCCAGAATAAGCCTGTGAAAATTGCATCTCTGTCACTGATTATTGTTTCAGGCAGGCCGTGTAATGTAAAAATATTAGAGAAACAAGAATGAGCCACTGACGCTGTTGTGTAGGGATGTGACAATGAAATAAAGTGAGCGTATTTGGAGAGTCAATCCACCGTTACATCGATAACTTACCTCCGTCCTTCGTAGGGGTTGTAGTAAACCTGTTGGCATGATTTTTTTGGGTGCAAGTTCTCCCATATTTTTTTTTTGGCAAATAACACAATTAGTGACGAAGTCCTATGCAGAAGATGTCATGCCTTCCCAATAGAGTTGCCCTTTTATGCGATGCAGAGTCTTTTGGATCCCTCATGAGTAGCATTATGAACTTCTGCGAGGATGTTAGGCATATAATTAACGTCGGTCGGCACATCTATTTTGGACTTGTAATATAGAACATGCCATCACGGACTGTCCAATTAGAATTTTCCCCTTGTGCTGCTTTGTTGAAAACAATCTGGCTGTCCTCGGAGTGCTGATAGTGCTTACTTAAATCCTCCATTAACTGGGCGACTGGGCGTGAACCATGGTAACTGCCATGAGGGTTGCTGGATTTGCATTTCTCCGTGATAGAGCATCTGCCTTTTCAATTCAATTTTCCAGGTTTGTATTCGACTTCAATACCAAAACCCAAGAGTTTACTCATCCAATGCTGTTGCGGCGAGGTTCGTTGATAATGATCATTATAGAGGCTATAATGATCAGTTCGAATCACGAAATGATAGAACACTGTTAATCTAGACTCAGAACAGTATGAATGTAATAAAATTGATAGAGTAGCTGATTGAAAACTTTATTCAATAGGTAGAACAGATCACGAAAGTGTGGCCCCAAAGATAGTGCCTCCACTTTCATATTGCTTGGACTAAGCCTATCAGTTCCCGCTCATATGCCGGCAACATAACGTGGCGGTCTGCGATTCTTGCTGAAGAAGGCAACATGATGGTTCTCTTGTTGTAGAACTGCTCCAATACCCACCCCTGCATCACATTCAATTAAGAATGGTTTGGAGAAGTTGGATAATTGCAATATTGGTGAACTGGACAAGATAGTTCTGAGCTTGTCAAATGATATTTGAGCTTCGCTGGACCATGAAATGCATTGCGACGAAGGAGTGAAGTTCAATATGCTGCATGCACCCCAAAGTTCCGGAAAGAATGTTGGTAAAAACCAGCTAGACCAAGGAATCCGTGGAGAACAGTGGTTGTGACTGATACAAGCCAATTAATGATCGCTTGAATTTTTGAATTATCTGCCGCCACCCCCATTTTCAATAATCACATGTTCGAGATACGCTACCTTTAGCACGCCGAAAACACATTTCTGCCTTTTTAGAAACAATTGATGAGTTTGGAGTAATCCAAACACAATTCTAATGTGTCGTAGATGCTCCACCCAAGTGTGACAGTAGATTAATATGTTATCAAAATAGACCAAGACAAATTTACGAAGATGGGCTCCAAATACCTCATTCATAAGTGTTGGAAGGTGGACGGTGCGTTGCACAAGCCAAATGACATTACAAGAAACTCAAAATGTCCATGGTGGGTGGGAAATGCTGTTTTTTCAACATCTTCTAGGCTCATGCATACTTGATGGTATCCTGAGCGCAAGTCAAGCTATGTGAAGAACTGAGATCCGTGAAGTTCGTCTAAGAGCAAATCAATTACCGGAATGCAAGGTTGTCAAAGTCGTGCGCCTGATCGCTTAAGCGCACCAGGCGCAGCGCTAGAGAGGTCCAGCGCCCTATGGATGACCAGTCGCAGCTTCCCTTCTCAGGCGCAGGTTAGGCGCACAAAGCGTAGAAGCGCAGATGTGATATAAAGCGATCGCTGAATGCGCCTGAAAGGGGAATCGTTTATTTTAAGTTTAATTAGGTTGTTTCACATATTAAGAAGCCCATAATTTTAATAAAGCCCATGCAAATAAGGTCAAAACAATGTAACCTACGCTAAACACACAACGTAATTACGTAAACCTACTGTTACATGTTCGCTACCTCGTCCTGCCCCTCCACATCAACCGCAAAGCTTGCAGCAGTGCAGCACTCAACGTTCAAAGTAAGCTCTCTCTTTCTTCATCTTCCATTCGTTCCATTTTATTTCTTTTTTCATTTTTCAGCAGCTTCTTCTTCTTACATACTACCAGTATTTTTTCAGCATGTATATGTAAAGTGTAAAGTACCAGCTTCTTCTTCTTGTACTCTATGTCTCTATAGAACTCCTGTTCTACAGTCTATTCAACTTAAACATATATATGTAAACTACCAGTATATTTTTTCACCATGTATATGTAAACTAACAGCTACTTCATCTTGTACTCTGTAGAATTCTTGTTTATATGTCTCAGTTAGTCAATTCTACAGTCTAAACAACTTAAACATATATATATGTAAACTAGTTGTATACTTGTATTTTTTTACCATGTATAAGTAAACTACCAGCTACTTCTTGGAGAAGTACATACTACCACCAGTATACATACTATTTAGAACATACTACCAAACTACCCTTTTTTTGACCATGTATACATACTAACAGTCCATACTACCAAACTACCATTTTTTACCATGTATACATACTACCAGTCCATTTTTTGTGACATGGGTTGCTGTATATATACTTTATTTTGGTTAATCGTGGCTTTATTTTGGTTAATCGTGACTTTATTTGATCAAGACATGACTTTTTAATGTAGTTGGTTCAATATGGTGTTATATACATCATTCTCGATTATTGGAGAATAGTATTTGCGATATTTTCTGAGCAATGCGCCTGACTCGCTTTTTTGCGCCTTGCGCCTCAGGCGCTGGAATTACCCTATCGCCTTGAGTGCGCCTCACGACTTTGACTACTTTGCCGGAATGGGAAATTTATTTTTCATGGCCTATGCATTGAGTTGTCACCTTTTGTAACAAGGAGTACTGGAGATGAAAACGGGCTTCGACTTGGCTGAATTTGTCCTCTTTCCAGCATCTCCTAACACTACTTCTCAATTTCATCCTTTTGCAGTTGTGGGTAGCGATATGGTCGTACAACAATAGGATCTGTCCCAACTTTGAGAATAATACGGTGATCACAATTGCGTGTTGGAGGCAGTGCCATAGAATCAGAAAAATAGTGTCATAGTAATTCAGAAGCTCCTCCATTGCTTGATCATTAGAAATTGCAGGATGCATAGAGTACACAATAGTAGTGCCAACTGGAACTGCATCTCCTGTCCAAGTAAGGGTTCTTCCCAGTATGGTAAAGGTGACCCTTTGCTACCTAAAATTACACACGATATCACCCAACTCCTCCAACCATTTTACCCCAAGGATAATATTAAACCCCGTTATCCTTAAGACAAAAAGATTAATCAGGAATGTGGCACCCACCTTACCAAGTCTCACTCGCTCGCACACACCTGTGCTGAGTAGCTTTTCTCCATTAGTCACTGCCATATGAAAATCCTAGCGAGGTGCTACTGGAAACCCGAACGAGAGGGCAGTTTGGGAATTGATGAATTTATGGGTGCTCCCCGAATCAATCATTGCAAGAACATAACTACTAGCCAATTGGAGTTGCACTTGAAGCGTGTTGGCCTGTTGGGGTGAGGAAGTCCAGCAAATAAAGGGAAACCGTGAGCTCAATGTGACTTTCAGACCATTCCTCTTCGTCATCATCCATCCAAACGCAGAATAGTCATTTGCATCTATGCCCCGGTACATATGTTTCATCACAGTTGTAACAAAGTCCCTTTGCTCGCCGTTCTGCTGCTTCAACTCTGGACAGCCTCTTCATGTATGGAGGAGGGGCTGACTGAGTTATTGTCTTATTGAGGATCCTGCAATTGGGTAGTAGAGGGGCTGTTCTTGGGAGACAGCCATAAAGTTCTGGGATGAGCCGAAGTCCAAAGCTGCAACTTTCTCGCAAATAGTCTTGCTTCACTGAACGCCATCGTCAGATTCAATGGTTTTTGATATTCCACATCTATGCGCAACACCTCATCTTACCTAGCTGTGAAAATGGAAACTTGGTATTCCATCCGAAGTGGTGGAACACGTGCCAGTCTGTTCTGAAACTATGTGATGTACTCCTCAATTGGACGGCCTTGTTGTTTTAGATTTGTCAAATCCCTAATAGATTTGCACCATCAGGGGGACCAAATCTGTGAGTGCAGTAATCTCGAAAAGATTTCTAAGAGATTGGGCTGGTCTTGGCGTAGATGGTGATACCACAACTTATCTCCAGTGAGATAATAAGCAGCTATAGAGACTCGTTTTGCATGGGGACGTTCTGATTGATGAAAAATAACTTGCAGTGATAAAGCCAACTGAGTGGATCTTCCGTGCCAGAGAAAAGGGGAAACTCGAAATGTGATCCATGAGTAGTAGCCATGTGATTCTGTTGTCGGGTGCCTGTGTTGTTGCAGTTTTACCCTGTCTGCAAGTAAGTAATTTTTCCATCAACTGTTCAAGGTGATCTATGGATTCTTTCAGATTGGAGACTTCTTCCTTTGATGCAAAGAACCCATCGCCCATAATGCCGGCAACAGAACCAATATCACAGGCAGCTTGTGTGCAAGATCTCGTCACAGGCCTTTAGGTGAGTGGGAGAGTAGACCGAGCTTTGGAAGGGTTAGCTATGTTTACTGTTTGGCAGAAAACTAGGAAGAGTATAATTATGCAAACTTTTATCACAAGTTGGAATTTGTTATTAAGAGTTCTACAAACTCCCTTAGACTTTTCTTGCTAAAAACTTGCATGCCTTTTTCCTGCATTCAACTGGCCCTTAAATAGGCTTTAAGGTGTGTTTGCCATTGCTTAAATTAAGTGCTTTTTGGCTTTTAGATTAAAAAAAGCTAAAAGAGGTGTTTGGAAATCCCAGCTTCTGATTAACAGAAGCACTTTAAAGCCAAAAGCTGGAAGTTGGTCCAGAGTTGCTTTTAACTGCTTTTCAGTTTTATTGTAGATAACTCAAACTTCAGGGGTAGTTATCATGGTAAAATGTTTAGCTTTAACCCAATATACCCCTTCAGTCCTCCGTCCACAATTCCGGCGCTAGAGCTCTCTGCATCCTTTTACTTCTCAAAATGGAGAGTTCATCTACATATTTTATCAGAATGCTCAAAATCACAGGCGGCACTTTTTGTCTCCATTTGCACCATTTTTTGTTTCTAAAACATCTTTCATGATGCGAATCTACAGTCCCTTCAACTGGAGAATGTCATCAACTAGTATGGATCGGAAAGGAATTCTCCACCCATCGTCATCGTCACGCAGATCGAATGTTAGAGACGGTTGGCGATTTTGACTATTCTGGATGAAGCTTATAGCTAATTCAGATTCAGAGGGTACAACGTTGTTCCTTGGTGCTTGAAGCTTGGCGTTCGATGATGCTCGGATAAATAGCAATCCCTAAATGATGAGAACTATAAATTTTATGGAAGGGTATTTTTGTATACTTACAAAATATTACATCAAAAATCACTTTTTTAACAAACTCCCAACTTTAACTTTTTCACTATAATCACTTCTATTCCCAAACACTACCAACTTTAATACAAATCACTTTTCCAATAATCTCTTATAAAAATCACTTTTAAAAAGCACAAGCAATCGCAAACACTCCCTTAAAGAGTTTGGAAAATAAAATAAAGGAAACAACTAAAAAGAAAACAATAGTTCAAAGATTGCAATCAGGAAATGATATCTCAAATCTCTAAAGATCTCAAGTCCCTGATTGTGACTTGTCTATCAGATTTGTCTGATTTATTTCTCCCAGATTTGTTTGATTTATTTGTCTTCCAGATCAGTCAGATTTTTCCGTGTGATTTGCTGATTTCTTTGTTTCTTTCTTTCTTTCTTTTACGGCGATACTGACGCCTTATGAGTGCATCGTAATGTATATGGAATTGTTGAGCATACTGTACTAATTTTGCCAAGAATCTCGCTTGGTCAAGGTGACTATGGAATGTTGGCGAGTATTGGTTTCTGAAGCATTTTTAAAGCTTGATTTTTATTTATTTATTTGGAAGAGTTTAATCTTCAACTCATTTTTATTGTTATTTTCACAGATGACTATCGATGAGGTCAGGCGAACTGCACAGCAGCAAGTTAACAGAGTGCTGAAGAATCAAACCAGGTTTTTTAATATCTTTTTGTTGGCATGTTGAAACAGCTTTTCAGTATTTTGTAATGCAGACGTAAAGTTTTCAAAAAGCTTGTGTGTTAGATATGTCACTAAAACCTGTATTTTGATGTTATTGTGTTCTATAATGTCTTCTGAGATAATATTGAATGTATGCCATATGAAAGGGCTATTGAAATCTTTTTACATATGATGAGAAGTTGTCTGAATAGAACAAGCTTTCTATCACATGGTAGATGAAAATACTATTTTAACTTCATTGGATTAGAGAGTAAGTATTAGATATACTCTAAATAGACTTTCTTGTAATAGTTTTAGCTATTATTAGAGCTTCGGTTATAGTCAGTTGAGTTTGTTATGACTTAACCAACTCTATATAAACTTGTAATAGCTGCCTTAACTGAATCAATAATACAAAACTCATTTCCTCTCAATCTCTCTCTTATCTTTCTAATATGGTATCAGAGCTTTAGCTCAGTCCATCAATGGCGATCTCCGATGACTCTTCTCACACTTCTGCCGGAAATTCTGGCAATTCAATTTCTCCAATGACCTTCGCATATCCTCTTCCAATCAAACTTGACAAAAACAATTTTCTATTCTGGAGACACCATGTTGAGTCGGTTGTTCGTGCGCACAAACTACTTCGCTTCATTGTGAAACCAAACATTCCAAAGCAGTTCAACACTGAAGACGACGAAGCAACTGGTAATGTCAACGAAGCATATGCTGTTTGGGAGCAACAAGATCAGATGCTGTTCTCATGGTTACTTGCTTCGCTTTCCGAGTCTCTTCACGTCAGACATTCGCATCACATCTGGAGCGAAATCACCAATTTCTTTCAATCGCAGATCATCGCGAAGGCCAGACAACTCGAATCTGAGTTGTATAACACATCTAAAGGTGATCGCTCAATCTCTGAGCATCTTCTGCATGTTCAAACAGTAGCTGATAATCTTCTATCGATCGGAGAGCCTATTTCTGCTAAGGATCATATTAACGTCATACTTGAAGGTTTACCTGAGGAATATGAGTCTCTAGCTTCTTCTATTTCACCACGAAGTATTCTCGATCCTCCTACTTTGTCTGAAGTAGAAGCTCTTCTAGCTGCTAAGGAAATGCGATTGAAGAAACTTAATGAATCATCACAGTCCACCATATTTTCTGCAAATGTAGCTCGTCTGCAATCATCAACCTCAAATGATCTTATAAATACCACCCATGTACCTGAATCTTCTTCAGAAAGTCCTTCTGCTCAGGTTGCTCAGTTCAATACTCCAAACAATAATGATTCATACAGAGGCAGAGGCCGTGGAGGTCCTGTGAGAGGTCTTGGTGGTCACAGTTCAATAATATGCCAAGTCTGTGGCAAACCTGGCCATCATGCTCTAATTTGCTACCATAGGTTTAATCCTTCATATACTAACTCATCACAATTCCCTTTGAATCAGAATCAATATTCTGCTCCTCCAAATTCTCAGCACTATCCTTCCATTCAAAATCCTTCAACAACCTCTTATTAAACAACCTATCCTTCCAATCCTCCAAATGCTTCAAATCCTAATTCACAAATTCCCAACTGGTCTCAACACTCCTATAATTCTGTGCCACCACAACCCTATAATCCTAATTCATAGTTTTCAGCCTTTCAGAATGTTTACAATCCATCACCTACTGCTGCCTGGGCTTCTGTTACTCCTATTCTGGGACCACCTCCACAATCTCAGACTTGGTTTCCAGATTCTGGTGCCACTCACCATGTGACTGCTGATCCTATGAACCTGCAACATAGTGAGGCTCTTGTTACCACTGATAAGCTTTTTATGGGCAATGGTTAAGGTTTGGAAATTAAGTCCATTGGTTTTACTACTTCTCCCTCACCTTATCTGTCCTCTTTAGCCTTGTCTCTTAATAACATTTTGTATGTTCCCTCAATTACTAAGAACCTATTAAGTGTAGTCAGTTTGCTAAGGATAATCATGCATTTTTTTTTGAATTTTATCCTTATGAATGCTTTGTTAAATCTCGGGCTTCTAAACAGATCCTGTTACATGGTATCCTTGGAGAGGATGGTCTGTATAGATTTCAATCTGTTCCAGCTCTTGGTTTCCATCAAAATAATTCAACAAGCAGCTCTTCTTTTCCTGTGTCATCATCTTCTTCCAGTCCCAGCTCTTCTAGCACTTTTTATCCACTTGTAATAACTCTAAGACTTGTACTTCTTCTGAAACATGTAATCTTTGGCATTTGAGATTAGGTCATTCTCATTATGAGGTACTCAAGTCTGTACTTCAATTGTGTAATGTTTCTTTCATTTCATTTCATTTTCATAAAATTGTGTAATGTTTCTTCAGTCAATAAAAATGCTGTTCAATTCTGTTCTGCTTGTTGTCTAGGTAAAGCACATAAATTGCCATCATCTAATTCTACAACCTCTTATCACAAACCATTTGAACTTATATTCACAGATCTGTGGGGGCCTGCTCCATTCTTATCCTTTGATGATTCACTTGGATTTACTTTCTTAAAAGGAAATCTGATGCTCTTCTTGCGTTCACAAACTTTTACAACTATGTTCTCAATCAGTTTTCTTTGTCTATCAAATCTGTTCAATCTGATTTGGGAGGTGAGTTTAGATCTTTTACAAAATTATTGTCTGAAAAAGGAATAACTCACAGAATCATTTGCCCACATACACACCATCATAATGGTGTTGTGGAAAGAAAACACAGAACCATTGTTGAAAAAGGACCGATACTTCTCTTTCATTCTTCACTTCTTCTTAAGTTCTGGGATGCTGCATTTGCTACTGCAGTTCATCTCATCAACAGGACTCCCTCTAAGTCCATCTCTAACGCTAGCCCTTATTTCAAATTATATGGTTCCATTCCAGATTATTCATTCCTCAAAGTGTTTGGATGTTCTTGCTACCCATTCATTCGACCATATAATAAACATAAATTTGATTTTCACTCTGAAACCTGCATCTTTCTTGACTATTCTTCCACTCATAAAGGCTTCAAATGCCTTTCTCCTTTTGGAAAGATTTCTCTCGAGATGTTATCTTTCATGAATCTGAATTTCCTTATCCCACTCTAATCTCTTCCACACTAGCATCATCACCTGCATCCTCTCTTCTTACAAATGCTCCTATCTCAATTATTAATACATCCAAATCTTCCTCACAACCCACTTCTTCCTTTCTTTCTCACACTGAATCCAATAACCAAAATGTGTCTTCTTCTTCAGAATCTCAGTCCACTCCTAATAGTCAAGACCATCAATCTTCAGAATCTCAGTCCACTCTTAATAGTCAAGGTTATCAATCTTCTGTCTCCTCATCTCCTCCCACTACAGCACCCGCAAACATTGCTCAGTCCTCTTCTACTTCTCCTCTTGTCTCTTCCACACCAATCACCAATATCCATCCCATGAGGACAAGAGCAAAGTCAGGGATAGTAAAATCAAGGCTTAATCCAACCTTACTATTAGCTCACATTGAGCCCAAATCAGTCAAGCAGGCTTTATCTTCCCCTCAATGGTTTGAGGCCATGCAGAGTGAGTATAATGCCTTAATGTCTAACAAAACTTGGTCTCTTGTACCTCTACCGCCAGACAAACAAGCTATTGGTTGTAAGTGGGTTTTTAAAGTCAAAGAAAATCCTGATGGTTCTCTAAACAAGTACAAAGCAAGGTTGATTGCTAAGGGGTTTCTTCAAAAGTTTGGTACTGACTTTGGAGAAACTTTTTCTCCTGTGGTTAAGCCTGTTACAATCCGGATTCTTCTTACACTTGCAGTCTCAAACAAGTGGTCTATTCAGCAACTTGATGTAAATAATGCCTTCTTAAATGGAGAGCTTGATGAGGAAGTTTACATGGTACAACCCCTAGGATTCCAAGCACTTCTTTAGTCTGTAAACTGCATAAGTCCTTGTATGGACTTAAACAAGCTCCTAGAGCTTGGTTTCTTAAACTAACCTCAGTTTTATATAGTGTTGGTTTCAAACATAGCAAGTCTGATCCTTCTCTTCTGATCTATCTATCTTCTGGTGTTCAAATATACATCTTGATATATGTTGATGATATATTGGTCATTGGTAATCAACCTTCTGCCATCAATCAACTCATTCATAAGCTTGATTCCTCTTTCTCTCTGAAACATCTGGGAAATCTAGACTTTTTTCTGGGAATAGAAGTACACAAACTTCCTGATGATGGTCTGCATTTATCCCAAACTAAGTATATCAGAGATTTGCTTCATCAAACTGGTATGACTGAGTCTAAAGGAGTAAAAACATCTATGGTTAGCACATGCAAACTTACTCAAGAGGGCACTAACTATCTTCCCAATCCTTCCTATTACAGATCTGTTGTGGGTATTTTACAATATGCCACTTTAACCAGACCTGAGATATGCTATGTTGTCAACAAAGTCTGTCAATTTATGGCAAATCCTTTACAAGAACACCGGCAGGCAGTTAAAGATATCCTTAGATAACATATCCTTAGATATCTGTCAGGCACCATACACATGGTCTTGTAATCAAACCTCTTCCCTTATCTTCTATACCTCTTCCCATCTCAGCCTACTGTGATGCAGATTGGGCATCTGACCCTATTGACAGAAAATCTACATCTGACTCTTGTGTTTTTCTTGGTCCCAATATCATTTCATGGTGGTCAAAAAAACAGCTTAGAGTTGCAAGATCTTCAGCTGAGCCAGAGTACAGGAGTCTTGAAGATAGTACTGCTGAATTATTAAGATTCAATTTCTTCTCAAAGAACTTCAAGTACACTTCTCCATTCCTAAAGTCTAATGTGATAACCTCAGTACTGTTCTGCTTGCTCATAATCCTGTTCTACATTCTCGGATCAAGCACATGGAGATTGATCTCTTCTTTGTCAGGGAGAAGGTTCAGTTGAAGCAGCTACAAGTCTATCATATTCCTTCCCATTATCAAATTGCTGATATACTCACCAAACCACTTTCAAGCTCCAGCTTTGTTGCTCTAAGGGACAAACTTAGTGTGATCAATACTCCCTCCGTCCCCCTAAGTTTGTCCCGTTTTACCTTTTTCGTCCGTCCCATTAAGTTTGTCCCATACCATATTAGGTAATGTTTGAGTGAGTAGAATTCATTCTTACTTTATTCACACTTTATCAATTCAATACAAACCACACAATTCTACTTTTTCTTAAAAACCACACCACACCCCTTTGTCCCAAACTTAGGGGGACAGAGGTAGTACCTCACAATAAGCTTGAGGGGGGGGGGGATATTATTAGAGCTTCGGTTATAGTCAGTTGAGTTTGTTATGACTTAACCAACTCTATATAAACTTGTAATAGCTGCCTTAACTGAATCAATAATACAATACTCATTTCCTCTCAATCTCTCTCTTATCTTTCTAATAGTAAGAATACCATATCACTGTATAAAATGTCAAAGAGTTGTGCTTCAGATAACAAAAAAGTACTTGGATGTCTTACAGAGATTTGTTTTTGTAGGTTCTTACTGGATTTGAATATTGCAGCTCCCAAAATTACCTTCCCAACAGATTTTTCTCCAGATAGCATCCACTCTACAAAGCTTTTACTTGACTTGGGAAATTTAGTGATTCGCACGAAGGTACTCAAGTTTTACATGTCTCTAAACTTGACTAGTTGACTTACAAGATTCGTATAATTTTGCAGGACGATTCTGAGTGTGTTTCACATGAAGACATGTATATGTATGTGCAGTTTGATCTTGTTCTGAGTGATGTCTCTGCTTTTCTGGTTGATGGTGATTACGTTTGGGGCCAAGTACTTCCAACTAGAATAGGTGGCTCCTCCAAGTCTAACATGATTAGTTGTCTACCTGTTATTGATAAATGTGGGGTTTTTGTAAAGCTTCAGCAGGTACAAATTTGATCTTCAATTTGATCACATGTACCAACTGGACAAAATAACAGCTGTAGCTATGATCTTTCTGCTGTCTAACAATTCCATTTTACTCTTTTATTTTTACAGATCCGACTACAAAACCCAGGTTTTCCTTCTACAAGAATTTCGGTTCGACTTCCATCCCTTGGTTTTCATTGTTCCCCTGCCCGTTATCATCGGCTGATGCAAGTTGCAAAAATTTTCGAGAAAAGGGAAATAAATTCTCTGGAATTATATAATCCTTGGAGCCAAGCGGATTTTGAGGGTTGGTTGTCACTTCTTAGTTGGAAGGTGTTAGATCTGCTCTTTTTTGTCTTGAGCCAGTTATTCTGATATTTTGATCGATGAAACTTTTAAGTTATATATGCTTCTCCTTTACTTTTAGGGGGTTGGAGGCCGGGAGGCTGTATGGCAACGAAGATATGTATGTATAGTGGGCCCATTTCTGTATGTGTTAGAAAACCCTGATGCTAGATCCTACAAGCAATATACCAGGTAAAAAGATCTATCTGGACTAAGAAATCCAACAATAAAATGATAATTGGGGATCATATTATACCATCGAAAGAATAAAAGAATAAAGACATTATTGGATTGAATGACATGGATATGTTTTGAATGACATTATATAAAGAATAAAAGAATTTGATATAGTAAAGTGATAGCTCTGATCACAAACCTGTACGCAAGTAATCTCTGACTATTTTATGTTATGATATGTGTAACGCTTACTGAGATATCTTGAAAGGGAAAAACCTCTACTTCTATGTTTATGCTAATGGGGATTGGTTTTGTGTGCAAAGTGTGTAGCATGGCATTAGATGCTCGTTCGGGTTTTCTGTCTTTAGAATAGTAGAAGTGTTGATCTTGCTGGGGAGCTTCTCCATGATGCAAGTCTAAGGAGTGAAGACATTCTCATCCTTAACTTTATCATAGTTATATATATATGTGTGTATATATATATCTTGGATATGGTAGCACCACAGGGAAATGGCAAATGCAAAAAAAATCATTCACAATGAGGACATGGATGAGCTGTTGTGGATTGACTCCTATGACATTATTACCTAATCACCCACTACAACCCCCCCACCCCCCCAAAAAAAAAACGGTATTCTTTTAAATAAGTTCCTAGCGCATATTATGTTTCATTTGGACTATATAACATTGTACGTATATACAGCCCAAGTATCTCAAGATACCTTCTAAGAAAACATGAAATTTGTCATCATGTATGTGGTGAAATTGTTGAATCTTTCTGTTCCCGTGCTGCCGTGCATGCACTTTTGGACTATGATAAATGGAGTTCTGGTTTCACATATCTCCATAACTACTATCTACTTTGCTCAAATACGCGGCTTCTTATTTTTTTCCAGCTTACGAGGAAAACAACTCTATCAAGTCCCTCCCGACATTATCGGAGATGCAAAGCACGTATTAGCAGTTTGTGATGCTGGGCAAGCCAATACTAAGGTCACTGACGGAAACTATTCTGAATCACTTACCGGTTTTCAAGATGATATCTGGTTTGATTAAATCATGTTTCTGTGTAGATAGTGGAAGATGGAAATGCCCTAATATTTCGTTATGACTCTGAAGAATCAAAGAGAATATGGCAGAGTAGCTTACAGGGGGCCGTCTATCGTGCTTCGGTATATTACATGCATATTTTTTTTTTAAGACTCAGATTTCAGAATGGATTTGTATTTGTTTGTAAAATGCAAACACAACGTATATTTAAGAGGGATAATGTAAAATTGAACAAAACAAAGAAATATAATAACAAAGTTGAACAAAGGGGTAAGATATCAATGGTTTTATTCCATAAGAAAAAGGCTGGTAGGTTTAAGAGGGATTTAGCTAAGTTTTATAATATTTTACTGTCTGGTTCAATTTAGAGCAAAATACGTTATTACAAACTCTGGAATTCGGCGTTCAGCACATTCCATAATGTAGCAGCTTAAGTGTGTGATAATGAGTCATATATGTATAAAACTAGGAGCACCTTAAAAAATGCAAGTAATGATTGGCGTGGTGCTCAAGTATCTACTTGTTTTCCACTTGGTCGCGGGTTTTAACCCAGAAACAATATCTTTGTGTTAATAAAGGTAAGATTGTGTAGTGTGTACATTGGGACCTTTCCCAGGCTCTGGTGATAGGAGTCAGGATTCTTATGCATATGATCTTTTTACTCACTGGCATTAAACTATAGTACTATATAGTAACATTTTGTTGCAATTACCATTCAAATAGGGATATGCCGTGGGAGGGTTGTAATTTTGAGGATGCAGTGCTCATTAGCGAACACATGATATATAAAGAGATTTATACTAACAGTTATCTGTTTAATTATATTACTATGATACTTAGTGAACCCCTAACCAGTTCCTACACCGGCTCCATAGTGCTCTGAGGTCATAAATAGTGAACATGAAAAGTTTTAGATCTGCATTTTGGATGCTATCCAAAACTATCAGTTAAATGATATACATAAAAAATAACTCATTTCCAACTGGTCATCCCATAAGCAGTACTACACTGGCTCATGGCTGGTCTGATAACATTGGTATAAACTGTGGAGCATCTCAGAATTCATTGTGGATGTCAAGGACTCAAGTCAAAAGTGGGAGAGATGTCATTCTATTTGTAATCTTCTCATGGTTCCAATTGTATGCAATCTATGGGTTGGGTGCAAAACTATTTTTATAGTGAGATATTATTGCATGCCAATGTTCTGTTTCTTTGTTGGTGGGAATCTTCATCCGCGTTCTTAATCTGATTTTCCATGTAGAGAGCTGCTCCTATCACTGGTATTTCTGAATCTTCATCTGATTCTGAAGACACTGAAACGTATCGTAATGATAACCATGATAGCAAGGACCAGTTGGCGGTGGAGGATATGTATTTAACTGGTGTTCTTGATGAGTTGAAGATCCATTTTAATTATAATGGCAATGTAAGCATGGCTGATACAATCATTTTTTTGAATGATAGTTTAATGACACTCAGACTACTTTTGTTTACATTATGTAGCATGACCACGTTTTTAGAAAAGTGCTGCTGGAGGAGGAGAACCATCTGTTTGAATTTAGAGCAATGGGTGGAAGGGTAAGAGCACTCTGTTTTTCTGTTCTTTTGAGTTATTTGGGGTTATACACAATCTATTAAGATTATTGTTTTCCTCTTTTTAAGGTTGAGATTTCAATTAGAGGAAAAGATATATTTATTGGCACTGTACTGAAGGCTTTGGAGATAGAAGATTTAATTTGCCCATTAGGGATGTCCCAGCCATGTTATCTGGCAAGATCTTTTATCCGGAGTAGTGAGTCTCATGATAGTCCTCTAGTTTCCATCAATGTTCAAGGCCAAAACAATAATAGCACCAGTTGTAGTCAATATGAAGCTGAAGATAATTTTTATGAGGCATCCGAAGATCTAAATGACATTGATAGTCTGCATCCATTGGGGGATCAGTTTGATTTCTCTATTCCTTCAACTTTATTCTCACCGGGAAGGACCATCATGAAGGCACCTAGTTTTAATCGTATAGCTGGTCTTCTTCCTATGGAAGCCACTGCAAATGGTAGCAATCTTAAGGATGTAACTGATGAATTTGATAGTTTTGTGAAGGCACAAATTATAATATATGATCGAGATTCTCCTCTTTATTCTAATGTTGATACAAAGGTAGGCCCTTAAGATTCTACTGACATTTCTTTGCAAACAATTATTCTTCATGCAGTTTCTAAGTTCATTTTTTTTTACAGGTGATTGTGACACTAGCAACGTTGTCATTTTTCTGTCGCAGACCAACAATACTGGCAATTATGCATTTAGTAAATGCTATAAATGTAGATGAAGAAAGCTGTGAATCATTTAGCGACACGTCTTCATCATCCTCTCTACAGCATGTGATCTCCATAAAAGATGTTGGTGGCGAGCCTTCTGGTGCAGTTGATGAGCCTTCAGTCAAGAATTTACTTGGGAGAGGGAAATCTAGGGTTATTTTCTGCTTGAAACTAAATATGACTCGTGCTCAGATTTTACTGATCAAGGAAGATGGATCCTCACTTGCTACTCTCTCACAAGATAATTTCCTCACCGATATCGAGGCTAGTATTTCCAGTCTCTACATAACATGCACCCACTAATTTAAAAATATTAATTCTTTTACATGCTTATGATACTGAAAGTCACATTATTTCCAACCTAGGTATTTCCATCTTCATTTACTATAAAGGCATCCCTCGGAAATCTACGGATCAGTGATGACAATCTACCTTCCAGTCACAGCTATTTTTGGGCATGTGACATGAGGAATCCAGGAGGGAGGTCTTTTGTGGAGGTAACAAGAGGATTTATGTTCTATAGTGGTGTTTGATTAACTGGGATACACAACTTTTCTTTTGGAAGTGGATTGTGAAATACCATTCAATCAATAACCTTTTGTTTTCTTGAATATCTATCTCTTTTCCATTTATTGTTTAAAAAGTTCATATGTCATCCTATAAATTGTTCGATTTATAATTCGATTACACATTGTTCAGGGTGTCATTTTCTCTCTCATGTGCTTAGTAGTGTGTGTATATATATTATTGTTTTAATAGTGTGTACTTAAGTTTCTTTAGAAGATTATTTGTTGAATCTTTCATATTTGGAGCCACAGTTAGAATTTTGTTCATTCAATGCTGATGACGAAGATTACGAGGGTTATGACTATGGCCTTCTTGGTGAGCTATGTGAAGTACGGGTTGTTTATTTGAACCGTTTTATTCAAGAGGTAACTAAACTTTTGTTTTTCTCGTTATTTTTACCTGCTAAAATTGCAAAGATGATCTCATGCCATCCTAAAACTGATTTCTAGGTTATCAGTTACTTCACGGGTCTTGTTCCCAGTAATGCAAAAGATTTCGTCAGGATTAAAGATCAAGTGACAAACTCAGAAAAATGGTTTACCAGAAATGAGGTTGAAGGGTCACCTGCTTTAAAGCTGGATGTTTCGCTTAGAAAACCCATAATATTGATGCCTCATCATACAGATAGTCTCGAGTAAGCTTAGACACTTCTGATGTAAATCAATTTCTACATCTCTCACATCTGTTATTACGTATATTACAGATTATATCTCTTTTAGTTATTTATCTATTAATCAATTAATTTATTCATTTATTTTTTCATATATGCCCTGCTAGACTACACAAGTGTATGTGTGCACTCCATTTAGTTCAATATTGTCAAAAAGGTGTGGAAGATAGCCTGACTTGATAATCAAGGACGTGGACAATAATGACTGTCAATAATATAGGGTTTGACCGTGTGATGTGTATTAGAATTCGTGTAGGAATATGCTTTGGAATATTTCTTAGAATATACTCTAAGGTATTATTATGATATATAATCATGCAGGAATATTCCGTCCTTGTACTGTATATTTGTAGGGACTTAAACCCTTCAATAAAGATACAGAAAATCCTTTCCTCTCCAATATTATTTCTAGTTTGTACTTTCTGTTTCAACATGATATTAGAGCCATTACAGTCCAGCCAAATTTTACAATTCTTTCCAGCCTAATTTTACAGTCCAGAACCTTCGTTAGAACCTCCGTTCCATTACGGCCTATTTTTACAGTCCAGAACCTCATTCGGAACTTTAGTCAGAACCTCTCACCTTCGACCTTACCAGGTGCGCCTGCCGCCGGCGACCACGCCTTTGAAATCTGCACCAGAAAATCACCGTGCGCCATCCGCACGCACAGCCGTCAGTTTTCAAAACCGTCACACTCGCCAAAGCTTAAAGCTTAAAACAACTCTTTATTCCAGAATAATAATCGATAGTTTGAAAGACCCCCTTAAGGGCTATAAATAACCTACTAATTCTAATTAAGGTAGAACTCCCAAATAAATTAGACTAGGAAACTGAATTAATTAAAAATAGGAAACATAAGGCAATAATTAAATAATTAATTAAAACTAATTAAATATTCTGCCCACGTAAGTGGGCTCCCTCCCGTCCGCGCCTTCGATATGTCAATCAGAGAATCAGTAGCAAAATATCTTTGTTATCTTATTGAATCTTTGTAATTATAGGAAGATTTTATTAGGCTTTAAGTGCAGGGATATCTTGCATTAATTGTTAGAATCTCCTGATTTGTTTCCTTGTACATATATTTATTTCTTGCCTATATAAGTGTGATATACAACTGAGGAAGGCATCTCAGTTGTTACAGCCATTCTAGTTCTTAGTTCATCCTAGTTTTACTCGTTTCTGGTAATATTTGTGACACGATAAACCAACAAAGGTCTCGATCGATCCTCAGCCTGGGTCCGTCGCCGCGACCTGCTCTCTATCAACTTCACCCTCCTTTGAAAGAACCTTGTCCTCAAGGTTGAAACCTGGAAATTGGCCAACAAAACTTGCTTTATCTATCCAGGTAGCATCATCACTCGGCTGTCCTACCCATTTGACTAGCAGCTCCTCCACCTTGTCATTTTTCCTTCGACTAGCTAAAATCTCCTCAGGCTCGAACACTGCCGACTGGAAGTTCCAAACTTTCTGGCAACTCATTCTCTATCGGGTGATCTCCTACCACCTTTCGCAGCTGAGACACATGAAACACCGGGTGGATACGATTGCTGGATGGTAGCGCTAAGCGGTAGGCTGTTGGACCGATACACGCTTCAATAAAAAACGGCCCATAGAATTTGGCAGACAGCTTATGGTAAGGCTGCCGGAATAGGGAAGTCTGCCGGTAAGGTCTAACCTTTAAAAACACTTTATCTCCTACCTGGAAATCCACATCGCGCCGGTGCTTATTGGCTTGAGTCACCATGCTCTGCTGGGCCTTCTGTAAACTGTCTTTCAATCGTTTTATCATAACATCCTTGCTACCAAGTACTTCTGCCACTTTTGCCACCGTGCTTTCACCAGGAAGAAATCAGCGAGAAGTGGGTGGGGGCCGTCCGTAAACCACCTCGAATGGTGAAATCCTTGCTGCCATTTGAAATGCTGTATTATATGAGTATTCTGCCCATGACAGCGAACGTACCCACAGCTGCGGCTGCTCACAGGTGAGCCAACGCAAATGTGTTTCTAACACATGATTCATTACTTCCGTCTGCCCATCCGTCTCTGGGTGATATGCAGAGCTAAATTTTAATTGCGTACCTGACAATGAGAACAACTCCTTCCAGAATGCACTTATAAACAGGGAGTCCCGATCACTAATAATTGAGCGTAGAATACCATGTAGCTTGACTACCTCTTTGGAGAACGCTTCAGCCACTGATTGTGCCGTGGTCGGAGGTTTTAAGGCAATAAAATGCCCATTCTTGGACAATCGATCTACCACCAAAATAGACGTGTATCCCTTCAATTTAGGCAAACAAGTGATGAAATCCATAGAAATGTCTTCCCAAATCAAGCTGGGAACCGGTAAGGGCTGCATCAGTCCGGCCAGAGACATTGCCTCATATTTGGCCTTTTGACAAACCAAACATTGAGCAATATAAGCTTGTACCTGTCGGAACATTCCCTTCCAAAACACATTCGCTGCCAGCCTTCTATATGTCAAGTATGCGCTCGCGTGGCATCCCGTCGGTGTGTCGTGGAATTCCTTCAGTAAGCGAGGAATCCATTTAGAGTCCGCAGCCAAGACCAACCGTCCCTTGGAAAACAGCTGTCTCCCGATCAACTCATAGCCTAGTACACGAGCCGGATCAATGGCCAGTGCTTGTATAATTTCTTGCAAACATTTATGTTTTTGTTGCTCTTCTTCTATGTCCGCCAATCCCACCCATTCCGGCATACTGACTGCGGCTAGCTCCATCCGATCGCCCTTCCGAGATAGTGCGTCTGCAGCCGTATTAGAAACACCTGTTTTATATTCGATCTCAAAATCATAGCCCAATAACTTTGCAACCCAAACCTGCTGGGACGGGGTTGCTATGCGCTAGGTGAGCAGGTGTTTGAGGCTGCGATGATCTGTACGCACCACAAATTTTCTTCCGATTAAATATGGCCGCCAATGCTGCACGGCTAATGTTAACCCCATCATCTCCTGCTCGTATGCTAATCTGGAGAGGGTTCGTTCTGCCAAAGATTTGCTAAAATAAGCAAGAGGTCTCCGTTCTTGCCTTAGTACCCGCCCCGACCCCCGTCCCAGATGCGTCACATTCCACCACGAATTGCCTGTCAAATCGTGGCATAGCCAACATCGGTGCCTCGGTCAAGGCCTTCTTGAGCCGTCTAAATGCCCCCTCTGCCTCTGGGGTCCATCTAAACCGAGTTAACGCCTCCTTCTTCAACAGATTCGTGAGCGGTCGTGCCAGCAGCCCATATTCTTTCACAAATCTCCTATAATATCCTCTCAGTCCCAGAAATCCCCGAACCTCACGGACAAACTTCGGAGATGGCCATTCCAACACTGCGCTGATTTTAGTCGGATCCATGGCTACCCCCATCTTGAGAAATAATGTGTCCCAAATACTCAACCTCGGGTCGCCCGAATGCGCACTTTTTTCTATTAGCTCGGAACTAATTCTTCTCCAATAGGCTCAAAACTATATCCAGCCGATCTCGATGTTCTTGCCAGGATTTGCTGTATACTAAAATATCATCAAAAAATACCAGCACAAATTTCCACAAGTAGGGACTGAATAAATCATTCATGGCTGCCTGGAAGGTCGCCGGGGCGTTTGTCAGTCCGAACGCCATCACCAAAAATTCATAATGGCCACTGTGAGTGCGAAAAGCAGGCTTATGCACGTCCGGACCAGCCACCCTGATCTGATGGTACCCCGAGCATAGGTCTATTTTGGAGAAAACTATAGCTCCTGCGAGCTCGTCTAACATCTCTTGTATCACCGGAATTGGGTACTTATCTGGTACCGTGGTCCGTGGCGCGGCGAGGTGGCAGCCCCCGTGGCTCCTCGAATACCTCGGTATGCTGCCCGAGGATGTCCTCCACCGTACCCAAAACTGCCCCTGGCAGTTTGGCAGGCTCATTGACCAAAACCACGGCACAAAATTCTACATATGTGGTCTTAAGCAGGGTTTGTAAGCTTACGGCGTTTCTACACATTGCTGGATCCCCCTTCAGCTCTACTTGTCTGCCATCAAGCTCGAAATGCATCGTCATTTTTTTCCAGTTGGTTCGAACTTCTCCCAATGTGGCTAACCAAGCCACTCCTAATATGAGGTCAACCCCGGCCAACGGGAACACAAAGCAATCCGTTCTAACAGCACATCCTGGTAACAACACCGATAGCTGTTGACAAACCCCTTCTGACTCCTGCCTGTGTCCATGCTCTAATTGGACCCCGAATTTCCCGGTCTTAACTGGTTTCAAGCGTAGCAGTGACACTAAAGAAGATGACATAAAGCCACTATCAATCAATATCGTCACAGTGCACCCCTCAATCACTCCCCGAAGTCTCATCGTTTGTGGGATGAAAATTCCAGCCATTGCATAAACTGGAAAATCGCCGTCATCGCCGTCAGATTTGTCATTGATCTCCGGGAATTCTTCTAGCCCCGTTATCTCACAATAATCATGTTGATGCAAGTCCAAATATTCGTCTTCCTCAGCAAGCATCACCCTTAGTTGTTTAAAAGGGCAGTCATGGCCAGGCGTAAACGGTTTCCGGCACCTGAAGCACAATCCTTTGGCCCGCAGCTCTTCCAACACCTTAGGGCGGAGTCGGGTGAACCTGGAATGAGCGGTGGACTGCCCAGACAGCCCGGAAGTGGACCCCGCAGCCGGTGTAATAGCCCCCCCCAGTCTGTCCAGGTGTTTTCGAGAGGCTGCCAGTGGCATGGCGTGAGCTGCCGCCACTACCAGATGGTGGTGGGCCCGTGTAGGGACGGGAATAACCGCTGGAATGTGACCCTGGTGAATTGTAATTTGGACCACCTCTTCCCCCGTTCTGAATGGACAGGTTATGCTCCACATCTCGAGCTAACTCCATAGCAATTTCAAGGTTATCCGGTCGGAGTAAGCGTAATGAGCTCCGTATTGCTTCTTTAAGTCCACTCATGTAATAGCCTAGATA